GTACACTTATACAACCACTTTGGAAAGCAGTCTGGAGGGTCCTCAGAAGCTAAATACTGACCTCCCTTATGACTCCTGAGTAGCTAGGATTACAGGCATGAGCCACCGGCGCCCAACGAATATAATTTTTGTGCTGGTCCTAGGCTTGAACTCAGGGAGTAGGTGCTTTCCCTGAGTTTTTTTTTTTTTTTTGGTCAGTTGTGGGGCTTGAACTCAGGGCTTGGATGCTGTCCCTAAACTCTTTTTGTTCAAGGCTAGTTCTCTATCACTCTGAGCCAAAGTACCACTTCTGGTTTTTGAGTAGTTAATTGAAGGTAAGGGTCTCATAGGGACATTTCTTCCTGGGCTGGCTTCGAACTGTGATCCTCAGATCTCAGCCTCCTAAGTAGCTAGGATAACAGGTATGAGTCTCTGATACCTGCTGGATGTTCTTTTTTTTTGGTCTTTTCTTTTTTGGTACTGGGGATCGAACCCAGGATGTTGCAGTAGCTGCTAGACAAGTGCTTTGCCACTGAGCTACAATCCAGCCCTGGATGATATTCTTGAAATGACAAAATCCTAGGACTAGAGAATGGAATACCAGGGCTGGGAAGAAAGCAGAGAATAGCTGCAGAAGAGTGGTTTGTGGACTTTCATGTGATGGTGGAAATGTCTCTTCACTTCATCAAGGTCAGTACCTTCCATTTTTCTGTACTGGTACTGGGGCTTGAACTCAAAGACTCATGCTTTTACTTGGCTTTTTCAGTCAAGGCTGGTGCTCTACCACTTGAGCCACACCTCTATACATCTTTTTTTTTGTTGGTCAACTGGAGTCTCTTGGATTTGTCCTCTGAGCGGGTTTCCAACTATTGTTTCTCAGATCTCAGCCTCTGAGTAGCTAGGATTACAGGCATGAGGCACCATGGCTGGTTCCACTACTTATGCATTTTTATAAGATATCAACACGTAATAGATGTGGAAGGACAGTATGTGTGATCTCTGTGTTTCTGTTACAAGTACAATTACCTTAAATGTTTAAAAGGAGGTCTAGGCAGAGTAGGAGAGACACTTGAACTTATAGGCACAAGAAGGAACTTCCTGAACAGAGTCCCAAGGTCACAACAAATTGGAGAGAGACTCGACAAATGGGACTACCTTAAAATAAAAAGCTTCTGCACAGCTAAAGCTATCGCAACAAAGCTAGAAAGACAACCAACTAACTGGGAAAAAATATTTACCAGCAATATATCAGACAAGGGGTTAATATCCAGTATATACAGGGAACTCAAGAAACTAATCCCTCCCAAACCTAACAAACCAATTACTAAATGGGCAAGGGAACTAAAGAGAGACTTCTCAGATGAAGAAATAAAAATGGCAAAGAAACACATGAGGAAATGTTCCCCTCCCTGGTTGTGAAGGAAATGCAAATAAAGACAACTCTGAGATACCACCTTACCCCAGTCAGAATGGCCCACATCCACAAGTCAGCCAACGACAAATGCTGGAGGGGATGCAGAGAAAGAGGAACCCTATTACACTGCTGGTGGCAATGTACACTTATACAACCACTTTGGAAAGCAGTCTGGAGGGTCCTCAGAAAGCTAAAGATTGACCTCCCTTATGACCCAGTCATACCACTTCTAGGCATCTATCCTGAACAACAGGAACCAGTATACAAGGACACGTGCACCTCCATGTTTATTGCAGCACTGTTCGCAATAGCTAGGATATGGAAACAACCCAGATGCCCCACCACAGATGAATGGATCCAAAAATTGTGGTATCTATACACAATGGAATATTATGCAGACATTAGAAATGACAAAATAATGGCATTTGCAGGGAAATGGATGGAGCTAGAAGAAATCATGTTGAGTAAGGTAAGCCAAGAGCAAAGAGACAAACGGTACATGGTCTCCCTGATAAGTAGATGTTAAATCCAAATGTTAGGTGATACGACAAAATTAATAGGACTTAAGAAACAAAGAACTTCCACTCATCTGGTCAAACCACTACTAAATAACCCCATGCTGCTGATCACATGTATGGTGTATAGACCATTATATGTTATAGACTGTGATAGACAATTTGCTCCAGGATGAGTTTGTGACTTTAAATGAGCATCACTATTCCACAATACTGTGAAATTTGGGAAATTATGTAATCACTTAATCACAAAAAAAAAAAAAACACCAGAAAACTAGAAGTGGCGCTATGGCTCAAGTGGTAGAGCATGAGCCTTGAGCTGAATTGCTCAGGGACAGCTCCCAGGCCTAGAGCTCAAGCCTCACGACTGACAAAAAAAAAAAATCTTTCATGTAATTGTTTCTAACATATTTATAAGATTATGTCTTTGTTGCTTTGTATGTCCCTCCCCCATGGTATAACCCCTGCTTTCACTATATATGATGTTGGTATATGTGGAGGGGAAGGGAAAAAACAAATCGTTAAAACAGATACAGGAGGACCCATTGCAACAATGAGATGTACAAGTCGTTATGTGGAAACGAACTTTACAACTTTGGTGGGGGGGGGACAGGGGAGGGGGAGGATACGAAGGGATGGGAAGGGGAAACAAAGGAGGAGGCTACAATGCTTGGTGAGAAATGTACTCATTATCTTACCCATGTAATTGTAACCCCTCTGTACAGTATTTTCACAATAAAAAAAAATAAGTTTATAAAAAAATAAAAATAAAAGGGGGTCTAGGGACATGGTTTGAGTGGGAGGCCCCAGCATCAGCCTCAAAAGAGAGGGAGGTGGGATGAAGGGTGTAGCTGTGCAGTAAAGCACTTAGTACCTAACAAGTGTAAGGCACTAAGTTTGAGCCTCAGCACCGCAAAAAGAAGAAACGGCCCAGTTTGGTTTCCAGCTTAGTGGGCACCAGAGCTTACTAATGAGGTCACTGACCTTGAGTAGATTTGAAACTTCAGGTTCTTCATTTCCCTATTGGCCAACTGGAGATATGAAAATTCAGTGCCATTTAGGAAAAGGTCTGGACAGCACAAAGTACTTTCAAAATAGCCCTTTACACAAATCTCTATATAAGTATCATTCTGAACAGAATTATTCAGATGTCCACAGCGATTTACTTAAAAAATGTCCAGAGCAATTTACTTTTTAAAAAATCTTCTTTTCCAAAGTGATCTGGCCAAATAAAAACAAGGCTCAGGGAGAGTTTTGGTTTAAAACTAAAACATGAGTTTCTCACCAATTATTGAAACACATAACAGATAAAGTGAGTTTTACACAAAATTTTTAATGTAGGGTTATACTTAGAGGCGGGAGAGGGAAGGAGGGAGGAAAAATGAATATAGCTAATAAATCTTGTTTCTATTGATAGGCAAGCAACTAAAAGCTTATGTTTATAATGCATGGGGAAAAGGTTAGGGCATTTAGACAAGAGATCTGTATTTTTAAATACTTGTTTTCTAAATATTTTTTCTCCTGAGTTGAAAGGGAGAGCGAGCCAGACAAATCTGTCAAGACCAGGAAAGCTGCAAAATTCGAATCAGGCTCTGGGATCAGGCAGTTGGGCCATAGGCTTGAAGCCACATCAGTCACACTTTCCCCCAGAAGATGAGGGGAGTGTGGAAACAGCCCATTCAGCCCCAGTTGAGTTGCCTAAGGCACCTTGTCATTCAAGTTCCTAAGCATTTGGCCAGAGCCTGACTCACCCACAGGCTTGGACAGGTGAAAAGGATGGACATGGTTTTATCATTCCAATTGTTTTTTTCCTCTTCATAATCCCAAGGGAACCTATTTCTGTTCAAATGAAACATTTTAGAAACAAAACTGTAGACATGGGGGAACCTGCCTGGAATTCTGGCACTCAGGGTTCCCGCATGACCCCAGGGACCCAGCAAGACTGCCCTGCCACTTCCTTATGGTTAGAGTGAAACTTCCCAGATGGGTTTATCCGACTCTTGGCTAAATTTAAAATCCCCCCTGGCACTATAAAATCTAGTCTCCAGGCAGGTTTTCTGGTATGAGACTTCTCTCCACCCCTGGCTGACACAACTTTTCTCAGACCCGTAATTTGGTATCTCCAAAAAAGGGTTTGGGAAAAAGTGAGGGGGTGGGGGCCAGGAGGGAGGACAGATAAGAAACTCCTTTCCCCTCCTTTCCCTTCCTCCTCTTTCTTTGTGGCCCTTTTGGAACATGCTCACACAAGTGTGACCCTGGGTCTCAGATTGTCAATACTAGGGTGTTTCACACTATAAAAGCAGAGAGACTATAAAAGCTTGGAGAGGTAACCTGTTTGCATCTGATTCACACGGATAATGCAACAATGGGGAATATACAGCCACTGAAGGGTTATTTGTTGAGTAGATTGTTAGTTCTCAATTTTTAGGCTTCATAATGACATTGTGAATTATGTTCTTAAAAGGAACGCTTGAATCTTGTATCCACATATACCAAAATGTCTCCTAACCCCAGTGGAGCGTCTGGGCCGATACCAGGTCAGGGGTGAAGGAGTTTGATGACGGCTGGAAGGCGGGAGGTGGGTCCTTGAGGGTTCCTCTCTGTCTTTTGCACATGTCTGATATTAAGACTGGTGGCTTTCCCCCCTCTAGCCGACACAGCTCTTAGGAGCTAGCTCCCAGGCGGGCAGGGCAAGTTGGGCACCCTCACCCTACGCAGTTGCTTGGTAATGGAGCGCTAACAGCGCGATGGCGCGTCCAGGGGTGGCGGGGATGGGGTGTTTCTCCAGCACGAAGCTGGGTCGGCTTCCACCTGCACAGCGCCCAAGCACCAGAGACGGCAATGCCAGCAGACCCACCGGGAGGCGCCGGGGGGCCACGCTGCCGGCGTCCCCGAAGCTGACCCCTCGGAGACCGCACCCGGCACCGGGCGGCCGGGACGGATGGACAATGGGCCGAGGCAGGCCCGTGAGTGGCAGCGCGCGGGGACAAAGGGGGCGGGCCGGGACCCCGGCTCGGGCGTGCGGGGTGACCCGCGCACCCCCCCCCCCGGACACAGGTGTGCGGGCGGGGGCGGGGCCGCCCGGTGCTCACCTTGAGGATGTTGTCGAAGATGGTGTCGCGGAACTCCAGCAGCGCCTTCTGGTCGAACTCGCGGCCGTGGATGATCCGCATCTGCTTCAGGAAGGTGGACTTGCCGCTCTCGCCCGCGCCCAGCAGCAGGATCTTGACCAGGCGGCGCACGGCGCGGCGCTCCCGGGCCAGCAGCGCGTCGATGTCGCGGCTGCGCCGTCGGGCCTCGCGCTCCGCGTCGCGCGCCGCGCCCGCCCTGCGCTCGCGGGCCCCGGCCTCGGCCGGCAGCAGGCAGCGGCTGAGGGTCCGCACTACCCCGGACATGGCCCCTCAGGCCGCGGCCGCACCCCACGGGGGCCCGCGCGCCATGGACGCCCCCGCCGGCACGGGCGAGCCGGGCCAGGCGCCGCCCCGCCCGCCGCTCCCTCAGGCCGCGTCCGCCGCCGCCGCCGCCGCCGCCCGGAGGCCCGCACTCGCTCCGCCGCGGCTCGGCCGGCAGAGGGGCGGGGGACGGAGGGGAGGGGGTGAGTCAGGGCGCGGCGGGCGGGGCGGTGCCGCGTGAGTGCCCGCGGATTGGGCCAGCGGCTTTCCGTTCGGCCAGTAGAGTTTTTCTATTGGTCTAGCTCGAGTTGTAGGGCGGGCTCTTCTGCCGCCCTCGGGGCGGGGTCGGTGCCGAAAGAGGCGGGATCTTTGTTGTGGAGTTGCTTCTCATTGGATCTCCGGGAGAGGTTCTTTCTTTCAGAATGAAAGGGAGGCGGGGTCGCTGGAGAGGTGGAGCGGCCGTCCGCCATGACCAATTATAATTGTCCCAAGAGCGCGTCCATCACGATGAACGGACATGGGATTGGAGAATTCACGTTACAGGGTGTGGCCAGAAGTGCCAGGTGTACAGAAAGCTGCTCGCTTGGTTCCCAGGTTGGGTCAGCCTGTGAAGACCAGGATCTTCCCGGAGTCCACAGGGACGTGGCCGGAAAGCTAAGAAACACCAACGAGATTCAGCTGCTTTTGTTGTGTTGAAGGAGAACGCTTTTCCTCATCTTATTCCTTTCAAAAACACTGGAGTCGGGGATAGGCCATACATTTTAAACAAATGAATCTTTGAGGGTTGCATGAACCTCTTGAGTGGCTTTTTAAAAAAGCGAACTAGCGGGGTGCCGGTGCTCACCTGTAATCCTAGCCACTCAGGAGGCTGAGATTTGAGGATCGCGGTTCAAAGCCAGCCCGGGCAAGAAAATACGAGAGACTCTTCAATAAACACTAGACAACCGGAAGTGGCTCTGTGGTTCAAGTGGTAGAGCACTGCCTTGAGCTGAAGAGCTGAGGGATAGTGCCCAGGCCCAGAGTTCAAGAGCCCCCCTCCCCAGCAAGCGAGCTAATCACCAAAACTCTTTCCCCAAGACAGTCTTATATAACATAGTGATGGGAGTCTGGAGTTTTAGGGCCTGAGTTAAAAAAGCACCACTTGATCACTGTACCATTTGTTTAATAATAATAAAAAACTATACCTGTATAAAATTTTACACAGCTTCCCTTTCTTTTCTAAGTTTCTGTTCCAATGACTCTGAAGATATGAACTGAGAACATGACCTGTAAAGCAGCATTGTGCCAGCCCCAAATATATTCTTGATATGTCAGCTGATCTTATGTAGAGTCTCTTTTGAGGGGGAGGTACAGGGATTTGAACTCAGGGCCTTGCACATGTTAGATAGGCAATCTACCACTTCCCCCACCCTCCCAGCCCTGATATTATTAGATTCTTAACCTGTCCCAGATTTATTGAAGCTGAATCCTTACCCTGCTGCCACTCTCCTCCCCCACAAGTTGCTCAGCTGATTGATTAGATTGAGTAACCAGAATCTTGATTATCTTGTCCCTTATCTTCTGTGACTGTGGACAGGTGAATACAATGAAGACTAGCAGAGAAAACAAAATAAAACAAAACAAAACTGACCTAAGGCCATGCAAAGCCTGGTTTAATTTTGCTTTTTTACTATAGCATTCTGGTTCTAATTTGGAGTGTGGCCAATTAAAAGAACAATTAATGCATGTGATTCCATTAAATTTTATAGATAGTTTTTGCATAATCATGAAAACAACAGGTCCTAGGGACATGGGAGGGAGCGTCGCCCAGTGGTAGAGTGACAGCCTAGAAAGTGTGAGGCCACTGGGTTCAAAGCCCAGTATGGCCAATAAATAATGAAAAAAAATTGCAGCCTACACACATATACACACACATGTGCGCACATGTATGTGTGTGTGTGTGTGTGTGTGTGTGTGTGTGTGTGTGTGTGTGTGTGTGTGTACTGAGGCTTAAACTCAGGGCCTGGGAGCTATCCTAAGTGTTTTTGCTTAGGGCTGGCACTCTATCACTGAAGCCACAACTCTAGTTGCAGCTTTTTTGCTGGTTAACTGGAGATAAATATCTCACAGACTTTCCAAGTTGGTTTCAACTTATAATTCTCAGATCTCAGCCTTCTAAGTAACTAGGATCAAAGGCATGAGCATCAACTCCTGACTACCACAAATAAATTTACACATTCATCAAATCACTGAAAGTAGAGACTAAAATCTCAACCATATAACTATGATATTCGAGGATTTAACTCAAAGATGTAAAACCTCATAGTACTTTAAATACTTACTAGTCGGTCATTATTTACATAAAAGCATAGGTACAAATGCTGTAACCCATGTAATGAGATTGTATGTTACAAATCAATGCATTACCCAGTATATCTGTGAAAAGTGATTAAAAAGAAAGTCTGGTGCTGAGGGATGTATTTCAATCAGTAGAATACTTGCCTAGCATTCACAAAACCCTGGTTCAATCCCCAGTATTTTGGAAATGAAAGCCTCCTACAGAAAGACAAACTCCAGTACAGTATATTATAGTATTATAATAAAAGTGAAATGAAGAGCTTAAAGAAGGTAATGTTTCTTAGACAAAAAAAAAAAAAAATAGGGAAATCTAAGCCAGTAAAGAAATGACTGGTGGGGCACTGGTGGCTCACATCTGTAAATCCTAGCTACTCAGGAAGCTGAATCTAGAGGTCTGTAGTTCAAGGCCAGCTCAAAACAGAAGAGTCTACAAGAGTCTCTTTTCAAAATAACCAGCAAAAACTGGGGCTGGAGATGTGGCTCAAGAGGTAGAGCACCAGCTGAGCAAAACTTAAAAAAAAAAAAAGGAAACCAAAACAAAACAAAACAAAAGAAACATGGAACTCAGACCAGAATCTCTTCTTTATTCAGTTGAAAAAAAATTAAGAAGTAATTCAACAGGAAAGTTTCAGCAAATAGTCCTGACAACATTTACAAATAGCTTTACATCTTTATAAATAACTTGATGCCTGCATTTAATCATTAAATATTTTAAAGGGTCACTTACGGTTTTTGAGTGACAGGTTATGGCATTTTTATGGGAGAAATTACAGGCTGTGAGTGGTATCTAAAGTGGAAATTGATGAGGTCTCTGGACACCTCCTTTATATTTATCAAGGGGCTAACATGCTTGAAATAACTGAGTGACCTCCATACCGAATAGTAATCTCATAATTACACCTTACATTTATGTGGCAGCCTACCGTTTTTAAACTGTTTCCACACCCTTGATCTGGTCTCATGTTTCTTTTGTGTGGCACTGGGAGGGACGAGAGGCTAATGTGGCTACAAGAGCAGAATTAAGTCCCAGGCTGGATACTAAATTGCAGAACCTGGACGGTCATGCAGCCTGACTCAGACATTGTCCAGCTATCAAGTGAGCTGGGAGGAGAAAGCTTAGAAACTTGACTCCACCATCTAGTTCTATGTGACCTTGACAGACTCACTTTTGACATCTCTGAGACTTAGTTTCCTCATCTGTAAAGATAAATGTTAAGTAAGTAGACTGCTCTAGCTCAGAGCCCAACACTTAATACACACTAAGTTGACACGTTACTGTTATTGTGAAGCTTTGGGAAACAGACACTACACATTAAAATAATGATGTGGTGAGGAATCTCTTAAGTCTAATACATCATATGACATTAAAAATGAAAACCCAAGGCCGGATGCCAAGGGCTCACATCTGTAATCTAGCTACTTGGGAAGCTGAGATGTGAGAATTGCAACTCAAAAGCCAGCCAGGACTGGAAAGTCTGTGAGACTTTTCTCCCAATTAACCACCAAAGAGCCAGAAGTGGAATGTGGCTCAAATAGTAGAGCACCATCTTTGAGTGGTAAAGCTAATGAACAGCATACAGGCCTTGAGTTCAAGCCCCAGCATGGCCACAAAAACAAAACAAAAAAACCTCAAGGGACTGAAAGAGTTGCTGTTTAGTATGTGGAAGGCCTTGGGTTTAATCCTCAGCCCCAAGAAACAAAACTAAACAAGCACAGCGATGCAAGTCTACAGCCCAGCTACTCCAGAAACCAAGGTAGGAGGATTCCTTGAACCCAAGCAAAGGGGTTTTTGTAAGAAGAGATCACAGCCAACGCACAAAGGGCTGACCACAGGAGGACACGGGAAGAATGCATCAAAAAGCCAAAAGGAGGATGCTCACACCTCATGGGGACATAGATTTCTGGAGTTTTCTTTGGGTTGGGGGACGGTACTGGGAATTGAACTTACTAGGCAGTGCCAGCTCTACCATGTGAGCCACGCCCATACCATGTGAACCACGCCCACAGCCAGACCACGCCCCGGTTGCCGAGCCACGCCTCTACAGCGAAGCCTCGCTCCTCCCACTGGAGCCACGCCCTCAAACCTTTGCTTTATTTATTAGAAAAAGTCTTGCACTTTGGCTGGGGGCTGGCCTGGGCCTATGATCTTCTTACTTCTGTCTCCCACCGAACTGGGACTCCTCATCCCCTGAATTTCTGTATATATATATATTTGCAAAGATACTGTACAAAGGGGTTACAGTTGAATTTCTCGTTTTAAGGCAACCAGTCTGCATTGATGTGTTATGACCAATCAGCTGACGAATACAATGTACTTCAGGATGAAGGAAAACAGTATCGAGGAAGGTCTGGGCTGGGCTCTATGTCTTACCTGTAATTCTATCTACTCCGAAGTCGAGATCTGAGGACTCTTGATTAAAGCAGAAGAGTCTGAGAGAAGTCACCTCCAGCAGAATGTGGAGGTAGGAAGTGGCTCAATGATAGAACAACAGCTAGATAGAGCAAACAGAGTGAATGGGAGGCCCTGAGTTCAAACCCTGGCACGACCCGCTCCAAAAATAATGAAAAAGGAGATCTGAGATACGTATAGAAATTGTTAGGATGTTGCGAATACATAATTAACCCTTACAAATGACTGTATTAACACCAATAATTATTTTACTTTTCAAAATTAAGAAAAAATAGAACTAAAATTCCAGACACAAAAGACAAAGGAAGGAAAGAAGCCATGTTTAAAATCTCTGAATTGTTTAAGACAAGGGAATATTTTGATTAACATTAAACTTTAACTAA